ATGGTTAGGTTTAAACCTTTCAATGGCAGGTAGAGTGGAGTTAGTCAGGGCTGTGGTTGTTCCTATGGTCCATTAATGGGCCTTAGTTTACTCTTTACCTGTTACTCTTATCAACATTATTGAGAGAAGGATGCAGAACTTTATTTGGGGTCATGATGACAATAGGTATAATCTACATGAATTATATTGGAAGAAGCTTACAGCTGTAAAATTGGAGATGGGCTTGGTGTGAGAAGAATATATGATGTAGACAAGGGTGCAAAGTACATGTTATCTTAGGACTTTCTCCTTTCTAAGGATAGGATTTGGGTAGCCTGGTTTGGGCAATGCTATGTCAAAAGATCATCATATTGGAATGTAGTTCCTAGGGATTCGTACTAATCCATATGGAAAAGTATTGTCTCTGTCAGGGACACTGTTAAGCAACAATGAAAATTTTGAATTGGTGATGATAAGAGGATAAATTTTTTTCTTAATCCATGGTGTGCGGGTTAGTTTTTAGCTAAGAAATTTCACTATAGGACTCTTAGGTACTTGAGTTCAGACAAGTAAGTTAACTTCAGTCAATTCATTATGGACAACCAGTGGGATGACTCTAAATTTTAGTCTATTCTTATGTAGATTAAGCAGTACATAGTTTAGAATAAGATTTATGGAGGTGCAGATCAGTTACTATGATAGAACAAACAAATGACATAAAAACTGCTTAGGAAGCTTGTAGGGTAGTGAATCCTAAAGTTTTTTGGGCTAGTATTTGCTAGAATAGTGGTAGGCTTAGGTGGTCTGTGTACACTACCTTGATTTTATATAACTCAATTATAACAGATTCTATCCTTAAAAGGTGAGGTATCTATAACGACCCAAACCTGAGGATCCAAAATGTTAACCGGGTCCTAACCCGACCCGAAAACACCCAAAGGAAAAAATAGTCATTATGGACCGTACAGTGCATTAGGGACCAAATAACAATCATCTAGGTCATTTCTAGTCATTTAGATTCATAAGCAAAGGAAATAAACTTCATTTAAATTCACCTGTTTTAAGGTTAAAAAGGGTAAAATTGACATTCTAGGCCGTTCCGCTCGTATTCCGACAGGACCATAACATTCTAAGCATCCTAGAGGCCATATATGACCCACACGATAAAGCTCAACCCCATTGACAAAGGTCTAAAAAAAATAGTACCCAAAGTCCAATACCAAGCACTCAGACAGTGTCCTCCGAGCGCTCGGTATTGGGATTTCGCCACTAGAATCCCAATCCCCCTAGCCCGAGCACTCGGCCCCCTGCTCCGAGCCTTGGGGCTACCCAAAAATTAGGCAATTTGCCCATTTTGTCTTCATTCATGTTCTCAAACATCTTGTTGGTCATTTTTTACCTTAATGCCCCTGTCCCAACTCACGAACATGCATAATATAATCATTCATCAACTTTAAACATCAATCTAAGCATTTTATAATCCATTATGCATCTAAGTCATTTAAATGCTAATAACATTGCTAGTGCATGCTTTAGTTGCCATTACTTTGCCCAAATTACACAAAAGTAGTCCGAAAGAATAGTTTGAACTAAGCATTGGTTACAAAAGCTTACAAAAAAAACTACATTTATCAACCCTATCTACATTTGTAAGGTCCTTCATCAACCACGTCCTTGCCATGACCTGAAAATTGGTAATAATAGGGTGAGCATTATGGCTCAGTAGGTGAAACCTAAGATGCACCCCTTCCAATCCGGTGAGTCACATACAATGAAGAATGAAAATTAAAAAATTAAAAAATAAAGGGAAATGGAATCATGCAAGTTTAAAGGGGACACAAGGAAATGATACAAGTCCTCATCATCATAGCAATACTCATCATAACATATATTCACGCAATGCAATACCATGCAATGCATATGTCTATCCCAGAACCCTTTTATCCTCAAACACAAATCATACACACACCGAACTCGTTAATCTAACCCGGTACAAGGTGACTCCTCGCTACCACGAGAGAAGGATTGACCATCTATCCCTAACCCAGGGTGACTCCCTAGCGTTATTTGGGGCCTAGGCGACTCAACCACGCATGAGGTATTCACCCCACGTTCCCTCTAAATTATATTGCCCCACAGACACAAGGCAACTGTTTATGGTCCGGTTTTCTCATACTTTTCTTTTAAAAACTTTTAGAAAACAAGTTTCTAATTTTCATCCCTATCCATGCTCCCTCTCAATGCCATAATGTATATGTCATATGCTAATGTCTCATATTCAATTTACCCACAATCTCTATAATGGGGTACATGATAATATACATAGCAAATATAACAGTCATGGCATGTCAAGGCTTATAAATTTCATCATATAACCATGTAAGCACATAAAGGCACATTTAATCACATAGGCATACAAATTTACCCTTCTTGACTAATTTTGACATGAAATTCATTCTTAAAAGTTATACCACATACTCATCATGCATAAAACATCATTATATACATATACTTTAGCATGCTTTTACAAAAATATACTTACAAAAGATCAAAGGATGTAAGGCTTAGAAATCCCTACCTCAAATATACTAACCAAACAAGCCCTTAGCAACCCTTCTTTAGAATTTCCTCCAAACCCTAGCAATGGTGGTCTTAAAAAATAGCGCTTGTCAAGTAGAATGAAACTCCCTTCTTTTGTCTTCTTCAAAATCTCACTCTAACCTCTCCAAAATTAAGCTTTAAGCATGGAAGCATATAATGTGTATAAATTTATGGAGAGAAAGAAGAATGATAGAAAAAGGAGAAGGGTTGGACGAAATAGGGAAGAGGGAAGGAGGTGGCTTGTCTTACATTTTGTCAAGTGGTCCTAATGGTGCCACTTCTCATCATTTGGGTGATTCTCACTTTAAGCTAAGTTACCTTATTGCCCTATCACTAATAAGTTATGTACATCCATGTCCCACAAAATATCTCCTCATTGTATAGATGTATGTATATGTATATATGTGTGAAATGTCAAGAACACCACTCAATGAAAATGACAAAACCGGGAGAAGTTCCCGAACCCGAAAATCATCCTGACTTCTGAAAAATTCTAAAAATAATTCTGTCACTTCTAGTTGACTTTAAAAAATTAATAATGCATTTTTAAAACTCTCGGCTCAAGAAAATGACTAAAACGGCCCTCGGAGCCCGCATGGCATGCAAAACAAGGCATAACAAATAATTGATATTAAAAATTCAAAAAATATTGGAAAAATCCAGGACATTACAGTATCTCTCTAGCTTCTAGGCATATTTTTTACTGCAATCATAAGAAGGATGTGCATTGATCATTTGTTTGATGGATGCTATTATGATGGATGTTTGGTGCAATCTTGTTGATATACTCAAATGGAACCTATAGAGGGCTGGTTTTGTTTTGGGATTGGCTCACACTTTTCACTAGTTGTTTGCTGAAAAGAGTTTCAGAAACAAGTTGTGCAGAATGGTGTTTTCAACTACCCTCTCTTGTATTTGGAGTGAAATGAATGATAGAATCTATGGTTTTGATCCTAGAAATCCTAATGGGCTTGCTAAGTGTGTTATGTGGGATGTTTTAGATATCTTGGGGGTATACCTCCAAGATATCGTTTAGGACCCATCTGTTAGGGTTCTATTTTTATTAAAATTCCTTCACTTTTCCACCTGTACATTATTGTTATATTTATACATTTCCTTTAGGAAACAACTAGAACAAGTAAAGTAGAATTTTGTGACATCGTGATTTTTAGAATGGAAAACCGCCTATTGGAAAAAGAAACCAACTAGGAGGAAAACCACAGAGACTTTCGTAGTCTTGAGTGAAACAATCCACTATCACAAAACAAAGTATGACTTAGGCTCACACCCACTTCACTTTACCACGACATAGTTGTTGAACACCTCTGGTGTTGCGCCCCTCATCCAAACTCTCTCAACTTCATGCTTAATTCTTAATACTAGTAGATATATAGGTTATTGGTAGAACATGAACACTCATCAAATGGATCGAATCTTCCTTTCAGTGATATGAAAAATTAGAAATGAATTATGCTACTCTGATCAATCTTTTTAATTTATGGTCGACTTTGAAGATCCCAATGATCAGATAAAGAACATCCCCCTAAATAACTCGAGTGTTTATGTGTGTACTCTTAAAAAGATAAAAGAACATTTTCTCCAAAATCCATCTCAAAAAAGCTTCAACAATAATCTAAAAATAATGTTTTTTCTAATTGACGCATTACTTGGGTTGAAGTTTTGAGAGGTTTTTATAGCCTAGAGATTCCTTAAAATATATGAAAAGATGTAAAACCATCTAAGGATTTCTCTAAGAGTTTTGCTGCAAAAAAGAAACTAAAAAGTTACCAAAATCTGAAACCCCGCACATATACGGAAAGTGCAATTGGTTGGACTTTAAGTGTGATTGGTTGTATTTTGGCATACTTGAAGAATTGGGATTCTGTCAAGTGCAACCGGTTGGACTTAGTGTCACTGGTTGTACTTTGGCAGAGTTTAGAAAAATCATAGAAACTCATTCCGGAGAAGTGCAACCGGTGGAGATAAAGTGGAAATGGTTGAACAGTTCAAGACTTCAAAATTTTCCAACAAAAGATATTTTCCTAAGTCCTACCACATCAAACATGAAATAAAAGTGTCCTTACTAACATACATGTCCTAAGTGACTCTCATCCAATCCAACGGTATGAGGCACTTGCACTTGAGTTCTGAAATATTGAGACACAATATAATTAAAAACTACAACCCGATCATCAGGTTTTGATATGAAAATTTGCCAAAAAAAAAAATATAAATAAATAACCTTATATCTCACATATATATCCATCACAAAAGGTTGTAATTCAACGTTATCTCATCAAACTTCCTAAGTGATAAAATTGAGGTTCAAATTCTAAGAGTGTAAAATAAGCAAATCTTATTTTTCAGAAACAAAATTTCTTATATTTCTAAATTCTTGACAAGTTCATTGTAGCTTGCAGGGAAGATACAGGACGGTAGTAATGCAGATGTTTCCATTGATTCTTATCATCGGTACAAGGTTCGTTACTGCTACCCAAACTTTTTCATTGGCAAGCTTCACTTTTTTTCCTTGAGTGGTATTGTATATATTTAACAGTATTTGTATCAAGAAAGAGTCTTCTTGTTAGATGAGTCATGAGATCTCCTTATTTAACCATTAAATCGTGACAGTTTTTTGCGATCTTTTGAATAGTCATATAAATCATATAACAAATATTTCAATCAAATTGTGATAAAAAAATTTCACAACTCTTGTCATTAGAGCCTTTAGAGGAATCTATTGACAGAATTACTATTAAATTAAATAGAGTATTATTGGTACCACTTAATTGCTAACCATGATGGTCCATCACTATATTTTATTTTCACCATAATCTTTCGATCATCTTGCAGGAAGATGTGGGGATCACGAAGGGAATTGGTCTTGATGCTTATCGATTCTCAATTTCATGGCCCAGAATTTTACCACGTAAGATCATCACTTTCATCATCTAGTGTCCAATTATAAATTGAAAGATGTATCGAGTGCATGTGAACCCAAATTGTTGGAACACTTTTTGTAACACATGAAAATAAAAAAAGGGTTTTTTCTTTCTTTCTTCTCTTTTAAATGAGGAATCCTTCTAGACCTTGTGTCTTTAGTACATGAAGTTGCAAGGTAAACTTCGAATATGTGCATTCACTTATAAATCACACATATCATCCCCGATGTTTTTGCGCCCTATGAAAGTCGAACCCAAATTTGATTTTTTACTTGCCTTCTTTTACAATTTGTTTTGATTATCTAAATTTTGTTACTTGCAGATGGGAATCTAAGTGGAGGAGTGAACTGGAAAGGAATAAAGTACTACAACAACCTCATAGACGAGTTAAAAAACAATAGTACAACAGATTGACTCTCTCTCATTACTGATTAATAAACATATATTTTTTAAGTGCATTATATAATTCTTCATCTAAGAACTGTGTAATTTATTATGTACATATAGGTATTGAGCCTTACGTCACTCTTTTCCATTGGGATGTTCCCCAAGGTTTAGAAGAATTGTATGGTGGTTTCTTGAGTCCTCTAATTGTGTAAGCTCCTCGATTTTCATCCTGTTGTTCATATTTACCAACTAGCTAGGGAGCAGTTAGAGGCAGCATTGTATATTGTAAATTAGATTTAGGATTCAGAATGTTATAAAGAAAAGGAAGAAACATAAGAAAAGAAAATGTCATCACACAATATTAATCATGCTTATGTATGAAGGGTGTTGGAAGAGCACGGTAAGAGAAAAACATTATACTTTGTTTGTTCAAATTTTTGAAAAACAGTTCTGAAGAACTTAGGAAATAAAAAAATGGTTTTAAAGTACTACAAAATAGTGTTAAAAATTGATTATTTTTAACTAAGTTTTTCAAACTACTGTCAACCAGATGATTTTTTGTATCTTTTTTATATTCTTAGTTATATGAAAGAGAAAACGGTTCTCGTAAAAATAAACCAAGCAGACCCTTGAGAGTCAAACATTATTTTGTACAATGTGACGTCTTTCTGATGGGCCAAAACTCACATCTGTATTGGTACACTAGGATTACAAACCATATTCTAGGAGTATTCAGAATACGGTGACACTTTTAATTATCTAGTTGTTTTAAAAATCTTTTTCACTCATATGAAATTATTGATTTTGAGATCCTTGTCGTATTAATGTATTATTAATTATGACATATTTTAATGATGTTAATCCAATTCACAGGGCTGATTTTCGTGACTATGCGGATCTTTGCTTCAAGTCTTTCGGTAATCGAGTGAAGAACTGGGTAACCTTGAATGAGCCAGTGGCCTTTAGCGTTCTTGGGTATGATACTGGTGTTCATGCTCCTGGTCGATGCTCTTCTTGGAAGCAAAACAATTGCACGGGAGGTGATTCGAGCACCGAACCATATATTGTGTCACACAACCAGCTTCTTGCTCATGCTGCTGCTGTAAAATTATACAAAGAGAAGTATCAGGTGGCAAATTAGAATCCTATCTACAACATTATTGTAACTATTTGTTTAAGCAGACAAATTGTTTCTAGACCAAATAGTGGTTGCAATTAACTAATTGAAAGTGAAATCTTCATGTAGGCAGAACAAAAGGGAAAGATAGGGATTACCCTTCATGCAATCTGGCCGGTACTTTACTCTAATTCGAGTCTCGATCGTCATGCTTTGGGTCGAACTTTGGATTTTCAGCTTGGATGGTGAGTATTGCATGGTGCATGCTTTCATGACATTAATTCTTCTTTTTGAATGTCAGTAGAATAGGGTATATGCTCTCCTCTATGAAAAGGATGTCAATGGAGTAAGCATAGGTGATATATCCTCTCTTATCCAAAAAAGAGATAACTTGTTAAGAGTCCCACATAAAATACTATGCCAAAATTACATGTGCATGTTTATTTACACAGGCGGATTGAAGGGGGGGCTTGGGTGCGCTTGAGCACCCAAAAAAAAAAAAAAAATAAATAAAAATTTGGCATGACTAAATTTAGCCCAATCTCAAAACAAAACAAATTAGTAGTAGTATTAGCCTCCCCAAATATTAGGCCATCCAAACAAGTCCAAGATCTAAGCCACAGTTTTAAAATAAAAGCCCAACCAAACATGCCAAGCCAAACAAGCCCTAAAGCCCGACTACAAAACCAGAGCAGAAAACTGCCTCCAATATATCTAAATTCCTAGTCTTAGGTGACCTAGACTCTCTCTCTCTAACCCTATTTCAGTATTTCCTCTAAAAATTTTCAACACTTTCATCTTTCGATCCCCATTCTTCGTTGGCCCCCCCATTGACAATTCCTGAATTCACCCTTGATATTTCATGGAGTCAAAGTTATGAAGATTCAAAAAATAAAAAATAAAAAAATTTGACTAAATGTTGAAGCTAAAATCGGCTCCTTAGATCCGATTCTAAATTGATGGGATACGGGCATGCCAGAACCAATTATATGATTCAAGTGTAAATTGTCAAACTTCAATCTCTTTAAGAAGGTTGACTTTCAAACTATTGCAAGGAAAAAAGGAAATAATAAAACTCCTCTTTGAATTCAGAATTGCCTTAATTAAAATGACTTTTATAATGAATAATTTATAGTAAAAGATTGAGAATAGAAATGGGAGAAAATCAGGATATAGAAAGAGATAGATAAAGAGATAGAGAGAGAGAATTAGAACGAGATAGAGAGAATGAGATAGATAGAGATAGAGAAGAAAATAGCAAGGATGCTATTTAGGGAAAGGCTTGAGAAAGCAAACAAAATAATATAATGATTCTGAGGGTGTTGGACCTCTAATACAGCATGCCTCTTTGATTATTTATAGAATATATCATAACCAAAATCCTATACATAAGCATTCTAATTGCATTATAACTCTTTGCCATAACTAAAATGTAAATTCAAATCAAACTAATATATCCTATAGATAAGCATCCTACTTGATTACCACTCCATCACCTAAACAACTGCAAATTTAAGTTAAATTATCCCACAGATAACTATTAGTAACTATAAACATTACCCAACTAATTCAAATACTTCAACCACCTTTACATGCCATTTGAATCCACGATAAAAATATATCCCCATTTTCGTCCAAATCATAGCCACGTCATTGCCCAATAATACTGCCGAATAATCTACCTGTTGTTCACACATTGCCACGTCACTACCCATGCAAATTTATCAAAAAGGGTGTCAACAATGTCCCCTAATTTTAAATGTCTTATCGGCTGTCGCTGCCCAAGCCGATAAGATATTCGAAATTTAAAGTACATTGGAAGGAAATTTTGAACAAGGGTTTCGCTAGTCACTTGGAATAAAATTGTAAATCAACGAGCTCCAAAACTTTATTTCTTTTGAATCACCCATAAGATGATCTTTATTTCATATTAGCAAAATCTGTTGATTGAGGCTTCTTCCTAGATTCTCGTAAAGTTTGCCAATATTGCCTGCCCATAAACCCAGGAAGGACTTGCCCCCCTTGCATTTTCTAACTCTATTAGCAAATCATGATCATGATCAGCAGGAATTAAATTATTGTGAAGCGTCATTCTAGCCGATCTGCTTATTATCTCGATGACATTATGCCAGGAAGGAGTTTTCTTGACTAATTTCCTTTCAGCCGATTTCATTGGAGCCAATTTTGCATTCAGCTACATTGGCAGGACTGTATTATGCCCAAAAATCCATTGATCGGCAAGCATTAACCAACTATAATCGGTAGGCTGAAGTAGAGAGTATGAATCAACTAACTTTTGTCAGGGGTTTGCAATCACATGCCCCCCGATAGCCTCTGGTTTTTTAGCCAATTTTCTTTTAATCAATTTTGCCTTAGCTAATTTTACATTCAACTCAATCGGCAGGACTGCATCATGCCTAAAAGTTCATTGATCGGCAAATATGACCTCACTATAATCGGTAGGCTGAAGTAGAGGGTATGAATCAACTAAATTTTGTTGGGGGTTTGCAATCACATGCCCCTAGGCAGCTGCTGGTTTTTTAGCCGATTTTCTTTCAACTGATTTTGCCTCAGCCGATTTTCTCAACTAAGCTCTAAGTACCCTTTTAAAATTAACATCGGCTAGTTTTTTTCTTCTTTTCTTGAAGTTGGGCTAAGGACAGCGGGTTAAAATAATTATATCAGCTGATAATTGTTTTTGCCGATTATTAGATGTTACAATCGGCAAGGAATGTTGGTACATAGGCTGCTTTGCTCTCAGCCAATTTGTACCCTTCCATTCATCAGTACTAGGCTGATTTACCACCTACTGATATTCGACGTACTGTTAAAACTTGCCGATAATTGGCAGTCAATGATTGATAATATTCTAACAAACTTTGTTGTCGATTTTCTGGTAAAATCTCCTGTCGAGATCGGCAAGACTGGCCAATTTCTATACTAGTTATTGGCAACCTCTCATGTAATCGAAGTTGTGATACAGGGGTAACATGCTGATTTACCACCTGGTCAGGATAAAGTTTCATGTACACGGGACGAGGTCGTCCATGCCCTTGAGTTACCTCGGCTTGGATAAACTGAGCCATCAATTCTTTAATCTCCTGATCAATCTCCCCCATTTCTTACTATTCTTTTTAAGGAGGAATCGGCATAATTGGTGGGTGTTGTAAAATAACCTTTGCTGATTTTACATTCGGCTCAATCGGTATCAATGGTATTTCTATTATTATTGGCGGATTACCGATAGGGATACCAAGAGCTGCATTTGGCGGGGAAACTTCTATCGTCGTTGTTTGTGACCCTTGAGAAGTATTTATCAATGGTGAAGAAACACGTTGAAAAATTGATTCATGAGCTGCCGAGATTTCGTCTTGATCATGGCGACTTTGGATAGCCGATATTTGGGCAAGTACCTCCTATTTAAATTCTCCTATTATGAGATTTATTTGGGATCTTAGTTCTCCCATATGCTGATTTATCACCTGCCGATAATCAGCTGCTAGAACATGCCGATAATCGACGGCTATTGGAGCATGCCGATAATCAGTTGCTAGAACATACCGATAATTGTCTGGCCAACCATATGGCTGATTAGAATACTGGTACATTGGCTGATTTGAGTAATCATAATATTTGTATATCGGTTGAGAAGCCGACTGCATATTTTTACTATAAATCATTCACCTGGTGGGGTCCCATCGGGCGTGCCAAAAATGTTGATGCTGAAATCGGCTCCTTAGATACAATTATGAATTGATGTGATACGAGCGTGCCAGAACCAATTATATGGTTCAAGTGTAAATTATCAACTTCAGTCCCTTTGAGAAGGTTGACTTTCAGACGATTGCGAGGAAAAAAAGGAACAGTAAAACTCCTCTTTGAGTTCAGAATTGCTTTAATTAAAAGGACTTTTACAATGAATAATTTATAATAAAAGATTGATAAGAGAAATGGGAGAAAATCTGGATATAGAAAGAGATAAAGAGAGAGAATTAGAACAAGATAGAGAGAATGAGATAGATAAAGATAAAGAAGAAAATAGCAAGGATACTATTTAGGAAAATGCTTGAGAAAGCAAACAAAATAATATAATGATTCTGATGATGCTGGACCTCTAGTACAGCATGCCTCTTTGATTATTTATAGAATATATCGTAACCAAAATCCTATACATAAGCATTATAATTACATTATAACTCTTTGCCATAACTAAAATGTAAATTCAAATCAAACTAATCCTATAGATAAGTATCCTACTTGATTACAACTCCATCACCTAAACAACTGCAAATTTTAGTTAAATTATCCCACAGATAACAATTAGCAACTATAAACGTTACCCAACTAATTCAAATACTTCAACCACCTTTACATGCCATTTGAATCCACAATAAAAATATATCCCCATTTCCGTCCAAATCACATCCACGTCATTGCCCAATAATACTGCCGAATAATCCACCTGTAGTTCAAACATTGCCACGTCACTACCCATGCAAATTTACCAAAAAGGGTGTCAACACTAAAATGCTGATATGAATATGGAAAAATACTATTCATTTTAAGCTGATACCCAAATTGCACTTTTTATTGTTTAAAACCTCATCAATCATCCTTTTAACAAAATTAGTATCAACTACAATTGATTCTTTGCCTTGAACTGTCACCTTTTTTCTACATCCCTACACACACTTGAGACCTAAAAAATTCATCAATTTTAATAAAAGTAGATTTATCTCTTGTCATATGGTTATTACAAACCATTGTCAAGACACCACATATTTTTTGAAGTCTGGCATTAACCCATTTCTTCATAAAAGTTGGCTTGGTTTTTAGGATTGTATCAACCCTCTTTTCTTTATGTCTATATTTTCAAAAATGTTGCCTTTAGGAACATTGATATCCTTATTTTTGAACCAACAGTCTTGTTCAATATGACCATTCTTTCTACAATAATAACAAATTGGAATTTCACTATTCCATTTCATGTATTGTCTACCTTTTTCATTGGATTGATTCCCTCTTTGCCCTTGAAATCTTTGATTTTTCCCTTCCCATTTGAACCTCTTTTAAATTCGAATTTTAATTGGAAAGTCTATTCTACTTGATTTTCAGTAGACCTGTTCAATCTCTCATCATGCATTTTTAGCGAACCCATCAGTTGAGCATAAGACAATATAGAGAAATCTTTTGACACCTCAATTGCAGCCACGACGCTATTGAATTTAGGATTTAGGCTTCTCAAAACATTTTCAATAATCTTTTGATCATTTAGATTTTCACCAAGAGACTATACTTGATTGACAATAGAAGTAACCTTAATGAGGTAGGCATGAATTGACTCAGAAGTTTTCATCATTACAGTTTTAATTCACGACGAAGATTCTGCAGCCTTAGGGTAATTACTTGACTCGATCCTTTGTACTCATTTTGAAGCAACTCCCATGCTTCTTTGGAAATTTTGTCTCTCATTTAATTATTCTTGGAAAAATAGTGATGTCCAACCTTCGTTGAATATATAGGACAAAGCCTTGACATCTTTTTTCTTGTTTTCTTTCAATAATGTTCTTCATGCAGCTGTAACTCTCTTCCTGATTATTATTTTCTGCAAAATTAATCTCAACTAGTTCTCACAAATTAAAAGAAATAAAAAGTGTTTTTATTTTAATACTCCAAAACTGATAATTTTCTCCTTTGAAAATAGGAATAATTGGATGAGTATTGTTGTTACATATGTTTTTTTTTTAGGTAAATTTGTTGTTACATACGTTGCCGCCATTTTTTATCCAAACTTTTTTTTTTCTGCTTTTGTGTAGCCCCGGTTGATCGTTGATGCCATTTTTAACCTGAACCTTTTTTTAATGCTTTTGTGTAGCCCTGGTTGATTGTTGACTGCTCTCATACCACTCTTTTACCCTTTTTGGCTTATATATATATATAATGAAACAATACGTTTTGGCTATTATCCTAACACAAGAAGAAGAAAGGTAGGAGTGATGGTAAGAGCTTGGCGCTTGCACTTCACAGGTCAGTGTTCGAACCTCGCAAGCCTCCTATGTTCTCGACTCATCCGGTGTGTGGCTATGGGGCTGTGTTACATTACCCCCAATTTGGCGCCATGGGGTGGAGTTCCTAAGTGGCCTTGTTTCAGGGAGTTCTGGGTCAAAAAAAAAAAAAAAAAAGGTGAAATATACGTGAAAGGTAAACATCCAAGTAATTTAAAACTCTAGAATACTTGGCCAATCCGCCAATGATCAATGGCAAAGGCCAACCGAGAGCATAGAACGAATAAGAACTTTAATTTTAAACGAAAGATAACACTGAAGTTAAGTTTGAATTAACTTCCAACATGATCAACCAAATTTGTGTGACTAAAATGTCATTAAAATTTATTTGTTGCTAATTTACAGACAAAGGTATATTATTACCACCTCCTACTTTAATCTCAAGTAAATAATTTATTTTTTAAGTCACATAAAGCGGGAGCGGGAAAGGGAGCGAAACCGAATTCGAGAGCGGAAGCGAGAGAACGCCATAATTAAGTAGAATTTGAGCTAGAGCGCGTGTGGAACGTGAGAGCGGGAGTGTGTTCGGAACGTAAGAGCGCTACATGTTGGGAAGAATTGTGTGACTAAGTTTATTTCTCCAATGCATTGTGGACCTTGTGGTCTACTGAATTCTTTGGCTTAAAAATCATTATTCTTTCCTTTTTGTTAGAATTACACAGCCATTTAAGAGAGACATTTTTTCTTTGTTTCTATTTTTATTTTGCAGAGCTATAAATAATCTTTATCTCATTAGATATATTAACTTTGCCTCTTCCACATGTATTTTAGGTTTATGAGCCCAATTGTAAATGGTGAATATCCTCTCACCATGCGAGCACTTGTCGGAGAACGACTTCCAAATTTCTCTGCAAATGAGTCCGAGATGCTGAAGGGGTCATATGATTTCGTTGGCATAAACTATTATATTTCTTTGTATGTAAAATATGATGACAACTACAGTGCTGTAAACTTGAGTTCCACAACGGATGCTAGGGTCAATCTTGTGTGTAAGTTCCTCAAACTTAATACTTTCGGTATTAATTGGATTCAAATTTATAGTGTATCTTCCTTAATTTGTACTAAAAAAAACATGATATTTCTTTAATTCTAGCTGCGAGAGATGGGGTCCTTCTTGGCGAGCAGGTATGTGAAAATAATATGTTTTATGTTGAGATAATAATGCACGTGAAATATGTCCCGGTTTCAAACCCCAACACTCCATTATAAGTCCCGACTTAAACAATGCTGTCGTTGTGAGGCCGGTTGCATCACCATTGGTTTGTAGGTTGGGGTGGGTTCAAAGGACCCTACCCAAGGGAGTTCTGAGTTCTAAAAATAATAATAATAATAATAATGTACGTGAAATAGTGATTGATGATCAATTTTATGTTTTGTTTGTTCAGCTGGGCTCCATGCAGGTTTATCCGAGAGGGATTTGGCAAATTCTACTCTACATAAAGAGAAAATATAATAATCCAGTTCTTTATGTTATGGAAAATGGTAACTAGTTCCCTCCCCCCCCAAAAGTCATAAAGATTTTTATGCATACCATTTTGACACTATATATCCCTTATTCTTTTGTAGGGTATTTAGAGTACAGTAATGCTTCATTGTTTCAACAGCAATCCCTCAATGATTACTTTAGGATCAAGTACTACTATCAACATCTGGCATTTACTCTAAAAGCAATCAAGTAAGCCTTTTGAAGCTTTGATAAAGATTTTATTTTATAGTTGAATTTTTTAGAATGACTACATATGATTTTTCTTCTAATTTTTTTTTTTTTTTTTCTGTTCATATATAGGAACGGCGTCAATCTGAAGGGATACTTTGTGTGGGCATTAATGGACTCTTTTGAATGGGATTCGGGTTACACTATTCGTTTTGGCATCAATTACATAGATTTTAATGATGGGAACTTAAAACGATATCCAAAACTATCATCCCAATGGTTTAAGAATTTCCTACAAAAATAAGGACATAATATCCTTGTCATATTTAAATGCCTATGTAATAATTTTGAATTGTGCTTCAATCAATGAGCAAGGTCATAATTTCTTCAGCGTAGTTCTTAAATGATGTTGATGTTGTTAGTGTTGAAATTCTTTATATTTGATGTACAAATGTACAATAGAATTCTAAACAGTTTGACAAATTCATTTTTTTACCAAAAAATGAGTGTTTTTTTGAGTTAAAACAATGCATTGAGAAAATCCACTTCGGATATGGCCTAACAGTTTACTTGCTGAACTTTGAAGTTTAGTAAGCCTAAGGCATGGGGTTCGAGTCCCGCTGGGTGTTCTTTGTGGCTAACATTTGCTGCCCTGCAATGACTCATCCGACGCGGGTGGAGAGGGGCCCTTCCGAGTTTTCGGGGATTAGTCGGGTTGTTGAGAGATCCTAAGGATTCGTGTCATTCCGAACACCCCGAGTTAATCAAAAATAAATAAATAAACAATGCATTGAGAAAAATCTACTAGTTTTAACTTTTGGGTCATTGTGGTTCTCGGCTGAAAATCTTCATTTAGGTCTTCGAAATTGCAATTTTCTAGAGGTCTGTTAATTATTTGAGGACTTTTGTTCGAACCGAAGTCGGAATGCTCTCAAATTTTATATTTAATAATTTTATTTGATTAGATTTCTTTCCCTATTTTTCAGAATTTTTAGAAAAATTTTAGGCTTATTTTTTAATATTAATGTCTTATGAGATTAATATTTTCTTTCATTATAAATATATGTATGTATAGATCCGAATCACATATTTAATTATCAATACAATTATAAGATTTTTTCTGAATTTATCTTTTGTTTTTTGGATTCAAAATAGATATTTTGTGAATTCAAACTAATATATCGTTTCTTGTTAATAAACTTAACAACTTAACTTTTGCTTACGTCAATATTATAAGTATTTGTCTTTCATTAATTATAAATTTTTACATGGATCTGACGTTCAAACTGGCTGATCTGATGTGATGTTATTCAAACTGTATGATTTGATTTTCTTACGAAGGTTTATGGTTCGGTTTTGGCTGCAAACACTATTAGAATCACTTTGGTTCATGATTATTTAGAAGTTCAAAAGGCCAAATGAATTTCATAAGCCATTTTACTTATATATTTGTTTTTGTTTGATTGGTCGGTAATATTTTTTAACTTAGTTAGACTTAGCACAATAATAAACAAAGTTTATATAAAAAAATAGGTTAATTAAGTACAAAAAAATTTCTTGTTATATATAATATGTGCAAAAAATCACCCTATTAAAAAAAAAAAAAAAATACATATAAATTCTGTATTATCCATCTTTTGAGCCCAAGTTGCTCCCTAATTATCAATTTTAACTAATTTTATTTATAAAAAATTCCAAAATACCCTCTACTAATATAAGCAAAGAATTTAATTTTATTTTTTTTCTCTCTATCGCGATTCTATAATCTATAGTCGCTACTGCCACCGTTTCGTTAAGTCCGTTTACACCCAGTTCAGTGCGCGCCGGATTCCATGCTCGCCGGTGAGAAGGTGTGGTCAACGCCTACATTCCAACCATCACCACCACCCAGTACCCACCCGCGAACCGCCATCACCATAACCATCAAGAACCACACCAGCACCCACCATCTTCAAACCCCAGTTCAGATAAAATTGACAAAATAAGCCTACAAATCCAAACCCGATGTCGCATAGATGGAGAGGTTCAAGAGTTTCAATGTCGCCGCCACTCGCCGCCATTAAAGCCACTGATGGATCCCTGAAATTCGTGATAACCCCTCGACACTTCGAAGTGAAATTTTCAATTCTTCTCTGGCGATTCGAAGTGATAACCCTCGAATTATCAACAATAAAAATGAGATCAAAAAACCCATAAACCCTCGATTCAAAGTCTTTTAGCACAAAAGGGTCATTATTCCTTGTGTTTACTTTGGATATTAATTCATCTCTATTCTTAATTAAAATAATATACATATACATACAATAGTATTCAATTGCTTGTGATGAATAAGGAGCTTTAATTCAACGATTATAGGGGAGAATAATTATTTTAGAAAATTAACATTATTTTAATTAATCATTAATATGAAATGACTATATCAAATAAATTCTTGAAGAAACAAAAAATATTTAACCATGACCTACCATCACCCTACCACCACTGTCACCTCTATCCCGCCACCACCTCCCCCACCACATGCACCACCTCCACCACAACCACACCGCCACCACCATTGCTACACAACCATCACCTACACCACACCACCTCCACCCAGTGATGGGTGGTGGCAGTATGGTGGTGATGGAGGTGGCGGTACGTGGTGGTAGTGGGTGGTGATGGAGGGGTGGCATTGTTGTGGTGTGATTGGGGAAGGTGGTTGTGGTAGTGGGGGAGGAGGTGGGTAGCGGTGACAAACCATAGTGGTGGAAAGGTACATAATTAAAGTTTAATCAGATTAAAAAAAAATTATTAAAAAAAAAAAAAAAGTATCTAATATAATCATTTCATAATTAATAGCTAATTAAAAGAAATATAATTACCTAAAATAACTATTGTTTCAATTAGCTATTAGATTAGATCCTAAGATTATCAATAAAAGTTAATATATTACTCCCTACTCACCAGAGAACAATTATATATATATATATATATATATATATATAACTTCTCTGTTACTCTTTTTCTATTAATGAACTCTTTGATTAGTACTATTTTAGTATTTCTGAGGATTAAACTATATTTTTCTAGTAGTGATTTTAGAGAGAGAAAGAGTGAAGACTTGCACTAATATAGAGACAAAGTAATCTGTAAAAGAAGAGGGAGATAGAGAGAGAAAAAGGAAAAGAATTTGCCGGAATATCTCGCCAGTTCATGGTGGTGTCGTTGGCAGGAATATGTTCAAGTTTGTGTCGTTGACCGGGAAAAAATATGGCCGGGAAGAGGGGATTGATAAATAGAGGAGAGAGAAAATATTTGCTTATCCATTATTATTTTTTAATTTTATTTTAGATATTTCAATTGATAAATTGGCAAAATGTCCTTATTTGCACAAATGGAAACACCACAGGGTTTTTTTGCGCATCTTGTATATAGTGAGGGGTTTTTTTGCACTTAACCCTAAAAAAATAGGCAAAAGTGTAAAAAAACAAAAATAAATAAATAATATGAAAATTCACCAAATGAGTAAAATACCACCCCTTTTGGTATAAAGGTTTGCTCCACTGTATTTCAGCTACTATGTCATTGTATATTTATCAAATTATTTCTTATAATTAACTTTTAAAAAATATATAAAAGGCAAAATATCTTTTTTATTATTATTATTATTTTATTAAAGTATGTGTATCGACCCTATAACGCCCGCACTATCCAAATCAGGAATGTGATAGCCTTCTATAATAAACTGATGCATTATATGGTCCTAAATTGACTACTCATATAGTTCGTAAATGAAGCTTGACAGAACTTTCAACAAAGTATCCAAATTTTTTTTTTTGTTATTTTATTTTATGTCTTATGTTTTTTTGAAGGTCTATTTTCTTACAATTTTTTTGTTATACAGATGATGATAGATCAAAGTACCCGATTGGAATAGATTAGACATATTGTAAACATATGTCATGAAGTACTCTAAAAAAAATCATTCCCCTATGAGATTTTGTTTTTTCTATTGTAAAATGACATTTTGGATTTTATTTTATCTTTGTCACTTTAATTTAATAATTTTCCTTGTTTTTTCTTAATGTCTCTATAAGGTCTTTTAATTTGCAGGATGGTCCACACTGATTATGTATTGAAGTAACAAAAACCAAATTAAATAGGCATTTTTAGATTTCTTGTTATTTTATTGACAAACGTTTACCGATTTGACTCTGATTGTCACAAAATCGTTAGAGTTTACACTTCAACAAGAGAATTTATGACATCTTGAATGACGTGTGAATATTTTGTTATCAAAATTAAAAAATATTAGCTCATATTGCCTCAATTGTAATTTATTTGCTTCCAATTATTGTTAGTCATGAACTCTATTTTTTAATTATTATCAAATAAAGAAATATTTGGATGAATTGTTCTAGTTTAAAATACGAGCTGTTATTTGGTGTGATTATACTATTGTGTTGCTCTTGGTCTGATACTCTATATGAAAAAAAATTTCCTTTAGTTTTGATAATTTCACACGGAGAATGTCCAATTTGGTCATTTTAAATTTGGATATTTTTTTAAACAATTTAAGAAATTTGTTATAAGGATGTGTTCGGTTACATGGTATTGGTGTCTTGAAATTGAAATTGAAATTGGTAGAATTTGATAAAAATAACTAAGAAAATTTAATCAAAATTTTCTCAAATTTCACCAATTCCAATTCAAATGCTTCAATTTTATGCAGTCGAACACACGGCTGCTTGGAATTAAAGTCTTGGAATTGGGGAAAAACAACTTACAAAATTGAACTATATTTTTCTCCAATTCCACCAATTCCAATTCCAATTCCAAAGTTCCAAATTGAACTAAGAGTTTTTAGGTCTTTATAGGAAGTTCTAAGAGTTTTTAGGTCTTTGCAAGAAGTTAATGTTGTACACACAAATTTTGTAGTCTGCAATAAAAACAAAAAGGGGAGCAAAAATAATATTTTATTAATTTGAAAAAATTTGGAGTATAACTCTCTGTAATATTCTTTACAAAGAATAAGGTCCTCTGATTCGATCTCCTTTTTTTTGGTTGGTTGGATCCAAGGGCTACACAAGCTTGATCTTGAATCACCGTAGAATTTGGATGAAGATGGCACGATTTGATGTGTTTGTTGTTGATCACCGTGAAATTTAGATGAATAACGGCACGATTTGATGTGCTTGTTGTTGATCACCGTGGAATTTGGATGAAGAACAGCAATATTTGATGTGATTGGTGTTCTTCGCTTTTGGGCAGAGTCTTTGGATTTCTGTACCTTCTGGATTTATGAGTCTCTGGATTTTTGAACTT